TCCCCCTCCCACCTCACTGTCCCAGCCACCCCCACTGCTCAGGCCACCTCTGCCCACAGCTCCCACTCTGCTCAGACAGCCACCCCCGCTGCAACAGGGCCGTTTCCTCCAGCCCCGGCTGGCCCCCAACCAGCCGCCCCCACCTCTCATCCGACCTGCTCTGGCTGCCTCTCGCCCTCAGACTGCAACCCCCGCTGCAACAGGGCCGTTTCCTCCAGCCCCGGCTGGCCCCCAACCAGCCGCCCCCACCTCTCATCCGACCTGCTCTGGCTGCCTCTCGCCACAGTGCCCGCCCTGGCCCTCAGCCCCCTCCCACCTTAATTGGAGCCCCTCTGGAGCCTCCAGCACCCTCACTCTGAGCCCTGAGGTCCTCCACCAATCAAAGGCTCCAGAACCCCTTTGCTGGACATCCCGGGGCATCTGTGATGTCACTGGGGACAGAGGAGACTAGTGTTCTGGCCAGGTCTTTCAAAGACCTAGCGCTGCAGGCAGCCCAACCTCGAGGGTTCTGCATGTGTTCCTGGGAGCCAGGTCTCTCTCCCCACACATACCCCTCTACCCCGGCTGGGGCTCTGGGGCTCAGGGGCTCAGCGGCCTTTCAGGTGGGCTCGAGGTGCTTTCTGCTTCCTGGCTGGGACTGGAATAGCTGCCTTCTAGTCTGCTGGGGCTTGGCCTTTGGGCCTTGCCTTTTGTGTGTGTGGGGTAGTGACCTTAGCGCAGGACAGGGGAGAGGACAGTTCCGTGTGTGTTGGCTGTTCTCGTTCCTCTTTACCTTCTTTTAGCAATAAGTCTGGGGTGAGGTGGGGAGGGGACCCTGCGGGGGAGGTGGGCAGGTTTCTTGGGACCTGACAACACCGGAGGCTAGAAGGGAAGCTCTGTCTTCAGAGGCTGGCTGGAAACTGAAGAGCTCTGAGGGTGCCCACCATGCCCACCCTAAAAGCTTAGAGAAAGGGGGTTGAGGACTTATGAAGACATGGGTTTATTTTTCAACATTTTTAAAAAAGAAATAAAACCTCCGAAGCTCACTGAATTCTCTTTCCCTTGGTGTAAGGGCCCTGGGCTTTGCTTCCAGTCTGCCAAAGGTGGGAGGGAACTGGCCCACCCCACCCAGCACTGGCCTGTCTCCCAGACCCCAGGCAGGAATCAGCTCTCTCCTGCAAACCGGCTGGTCAGGCAGCATCTTGCCCACAGGGGACTGGGTCCTTGCCTGGCTGGGAGAAGAAACAGGAGGCAGCTCAGATTCCAAACATTCTCTTTATTACGT